ACACACATATTCCAGCAGCTAAAATAAAAAACAGTGACAACAAGGTTGACAAGGAGATACTGAATCCCTCCTTCACTGCTGGTGGGAATGTGAAATGGTACAACCACTCCGGGAAACAGTTCAGCACTTTCATAAAAAACTAAACATATGCTTATTATGCAACCCAGCAACTGCACTCCTGAGCATTTAGCCCAAAGAAAGGAAAACTTATGTCCACACACAAAAAAACCTGTACATGATGATTCACAGCAGCCAAAAACTTGAAATAATCTAAATGTCCTATAGTAGGTGAATGGTTAAACAAACATTCATCCATCCCCTGGAATGCCAGTCAGCAATGAAAAGGAAAAACTATTGATACACACAACTACTTGAATGGTTATCAAGGGCACTGTGTTGACTGAAATAGGCCAATCTCCAAAAATCACAAATTGAATGGTTTCACTTATTTGACATTCTCAAAATTAAAATTATAGAAATAGAGACGGATTAGTGGTTGCCAGAGGCTAGGGCCTGGGGTAGGGGAGAGAACATGACTATAGAAGGCAGCAGATAGGAGACACCTGCGGTAATGGGACCGTTTTGTATCTTTACTGCAGTGGTGGTTACACAGACCTACACATGCAGGAAAAGGTAGTAAACTATATACAGTTTATACCAGCATCAACTTTCTGGTTTGATGCAACCACTGGGGGGGGGCTGGGGGGCTCAGTCAGTTAAGCGGCTGCCTTTGGCTCAGGGTCCTGCAATCCAGTCCCACGATCCAGTCCCACGTGGGGCTCCCTGCTCAGCAGGGAGCCTGCTTCTCCCTCTCCCCTGCCCCTCCCCACCTCAGGCTCACTCTTTCTCTTTCAAATAAATGGATAAAATCTTAAAAAAAAAAAAAAAAAAAAGATGCAACCACTGGGGGGAACTGGGTGAAGGGTAAGTGGGACCCCTCTATACTAACTTTGCAATTTCCTGTGAAGCTATAATTATTTCAAAAGAAAAGGGTTTTTTTTAAGATTTTATTTATTGAGAGAGAGGAGTGAGAGAGAGAGCATGAGCAGGGGAGAGGGGCAGGGGTAGAGGGAGAAGCAGGCTCCCCGCTGAGCAGGGAGCCCGATGGGGGACTTGATCCCAGAACCCTGGGATCATGACCTGAGCTGAATGCAGATGCTTAACCAACTGAGCCACCCAGGCACCCCAGAAAAGCTTTTTTTTTTTTTTTAATAAAACAAAGTAAAAGGGGGCGCCTGGGTGGCTCAGTTGGTTAAGCGACTGCCTTCGGCTCAGGTCATGATCCTAGAGTCCCAGGATCGAGTCCCACATCGGGCTCCCTGCTCAGCGGGAAGCCTGCTTCTCCCTCTCTCATGCTCTCTGTCTCTCATTCTCTCTCTCAAATAAATAAATAAAATCTTAAAAAAAAAAACAAAAAAAAAAAGTAAAAGGATGAAAATTATATACCATGCAAATACTAACCAAAGAAAGCTGGTAGAGAGAGAGAGAAAGCAAAAGAGAGAGACAAATCAAGAAACAAGTCTTAATAACAGAGAACAGACTGATGGTCACCAGAGGGAGGTGGCAAGGGGAGGGGGGAAATAGGTGAAGGGGATGAAGGAGGGCACTTTTGTTAAGCACAGGGTGATGTATGGAAATGCTGAATCACTATATTGTACACCTGAAGCTAATATAACGCCGTATGTCAACTAACTGGAATTAAAATAAAGAAATAAAAATAAAGAAAGCTGGTATCATTTTATTTAAGTTGGAAATTATGAGCCTGCATAGAAGAAATATTATCAGAGATAAAGATCAATCCAACAGTAAGTTAGTAACCCTACACTCGCATCATCTAATAACATACTCTAAAATATATAAAGCAACACTGACATAATTTAAAGCAGTAGACACATCCTCAATGATGTTGAGACACACAAGTTTCTCAGTAACTGATAAGTAAACTCTGAATATGAATACAGAAGATTCAAACAAGACTATTAACAAATTAGTCAAATAAATGGATAAAATCTTTTTTTTAAAAAAAAAGCAACACAGTCAACAAAAAAGTACAAACGCTTTTCAAATACACACAGAAAATTGACTAACACTGCCCATATACGATGAATCATAAAGTAAGTCTCAACACACTACAAGACTGAAAGAAAAAAATCCTAAGTATGTTCTCGGGCCACAGTGGAATTAAGGTAACAGTCGATCACGTGGCACCTGGGTGGCTCCGTCCATGAAGCGTCTGACTTCAACTCAGGTCATGATCTCAGGGTCCTGGGATCCAGCCCCTGTGTCTCCAGTCTCCCAGCTCAGCAGGGAGTCTGCTTCTCCCTCTCCCTCTGCCCCTCTCCCACTGCTTATGCTCTCTCTCTCTTGCTCTCACTTTCTCTCTCTCAAACAAATAAATAAAATCTTTAAAAAAAAGATAACAATCAATTACAAAAAGATAATTAGGAAAATTCCCGACTGGTTGGAAATTAATCAGCATGGTTCTAAATTGAACATCAACTAAAGCAGAAATGACAAGGTAAATGAGAACATATTTTGAACTAAATAATAATGAAAATACCATGTGTCAAAACTGAAATGCATCTATTTTTAAAAAAGAAAAAAGTACAATGCTGGTGATCTGAGAATCCATCCGATGAAGCCAGAAAAAGAAAGGCAAGTTAAACTCAGTATGAAAAAAATTAAGGGCAGACCAGACTTCAATGACACAGGAAGCAGACATCCTAAGAGGGACACAGTGTCACTCATACAGTGTCCCACAGAGAATGTTTAACCTGAATCTAGTGGCGAGGAGACCTCAGACAAACCCAAATCTGAAATGTTCTATAAAATACCTGTTGTGTAGTTCTCATAAACATCAATGGAATGCAAGACAAAGAAAGGGCAAGAGCGGCTCCAGATTCCTGGAGATGGCACATGGAGATGGCCACCTAAACGCCAGGCCAGCCTAGAGAGGAAGGGCGCTCTGCGGGCAGGATCGGGACAGGAGACCGAGCTGTGTCAGAGCGAAATCTCCTGAACATGGCAACTGCCTGGTGGCCACGTACGAAAATAGCCTCTTCCTAAGAAACATGCATTGAACTACTAAGATCAAAGAGGAGTGAAGTAACAAGCAACCTCATCTGAAATCACTCTGAAAATAACAGATATAAAGAGAATGGTAAATAAATGTGGCAAAAGATTAAACATTAGTGATCTTAGGCAAAGGGCATAGAGGAATTCTTGCAACTTTTCTATAAGTTTGGATTTATTTCAAGATAAAAGTGAATTTATTTCAAGTTTGGATTTATTTCATGATAAAAGTTTAAAATTTCAAAAGCAAAGACAACACCAGAAGTTTGGCTCTTTGAAAAGAACTGATAACCTCCTATCAAGATTAATAGGAGAAAGGGAGAGATAAATTAACAATATCAGGAATAATAAAATGTGACATCGCTCCCGAACCTCATACATTTTATATTACAGGAATTTATATATTTGAAAGTAGATAAACCCCTTGAAAAGCACAAAGCATCACAAGGGACACAAGAAAAACAAAACAAAACAATTCTGCATAGCCCTGCAACTGTTAAAGAAATTAAGTCTAGACTTAGTTAAGTACCCCCAAAGAATACTCCAGGAATATTGGCTATTTAACCTAGAAAATGTTTTTTGAAAAAACTGTATCACTCATTAAAAATTAGTAACACAAGTCAGTGATTTCTAAAACCCTGTTTAGCCATGAAATTCCTTCTTCATATGAAAAGCTTACAATATACAGGAAAGATAAAGACAGACACTAATTGGAAGCTGAGAGGGGGTGATAAGCCTAAATCCTGCTCAGGCTCACTTCCCGATTCTGCGTGGTCAATCTCTTTGAGGGATTCCTCAGAGTCCCTGGGAGTCCACAGACCACTGTTTGAATACAACTACGTGACCCGACCCAAAAATCAAATCGGTTGTAAAAACAACTTTTTGCAAACTTCTAAAGAGATAATGAGGATGATAAATAAGATATCTTTCTACAATTACTTATATCTCTTTTATGGTCAAAGGGATATAAGTTCAAGATGGTAAGAAAGGCACTGACCACAAACTTTAAAGAGCAGAAAGACTATAAAAACAGTAATTTATTCGACATACCCCACCCAAGTTATGTTGGCATCAGTCAGCTGAAATCTTGCCCTACCAGTCCCTAGGGCTGGAGGACAGTCAATGGTCAAATGTCCTAGACACAGAGTGTGGTTTCACAGACCAGACTCTTAAGTCAAGGGTGAGCACAGCTGATGAAGTTTATCTCAACCACCAGTGAACTTGTTTAAATATGAGCAGTTCTTATCTCTGTTTCTTTCTGGTTAAATTTACTGAAGAATCTTCCTCCAAGTCAAAGCATTTGAGTCGAATAATACACAGAGCTACAGTGTTATTAAACTGCATTTTACGGGTCCCTATCTGCCTTTCTGGATGAGAGCAGGACCACAGATGGAAGAGAGCACGGTTTACAAATGCTGACACAGTGACCAGAACTGACTCTACCATGCAGTCAATACAAAACCACTAATCTTTTTCCATTTTCTAAACATTTAAATGTCTCATAAAAAAAGTGAACTTGAGGACGCCTGGGTGGCTCCGTCGATTAAGCGTCTGCCTTCAGCTCAGGTCATGATCCCAGCGTCCTGGGATCAAGCCCAACATCAGGCTCCTTGCTCAGCGGGGAGTCTGCTTCTCCCTCTGCTGCTCCCCCTGCTTGTGCTCTCTCTCTGCTGTGTGTGTGTGTGTGTCTCTGTCTCCCTCGGACAAATAAATAAAATCTTAAAAAAAGAAAGTGAACTTGGCATTCCATCCCTTTCTGATTAGCAATGTTTGGTTTTGACTAATGTTTAACACTTTCCATTTTGTCATTTCACTGAGAGTGTCTTCTTTAGTTTGATATAAAAATAAGTATGTTAGAAGCCGAGCTTCTAAATACCTCAACTGTATACCTGAGAGCACAGGAAATTAGGCAGCAAGAGATCACAAACCTGGTGCAGAGGAACTTCCATCCTCCACAGACAAACCACTCTAGTCCTCTTTTTCTCTGTGTGATCCTAGCTCGTGGTAACGTGTGGTAATCACTTTCGTCATTCTCGAAGCCTTCTTCAGACATCATTAATGGCATTTCATCCAAATGGGCAGACTCATCTTCCAACTGGTACCTGGTCAGAGGTAAAAACAGAGTGCTGAGGCAGGCCAAGCAGCCTTCTGTCACCAGTAAGGGTATTATTTAAGACAAGAGCTGGTCCCATTCTACGAACCACATTTTTCTTTTTTCTTCAAACTCAGCTGTCTACAGAGGAGGCAAACCATTATAAATAAGGGATGCTACTTTCCTTTACAAAAAATGTATTTAGCCAGGGTCAGCAGGAAGGGAACAGGCTGCCCAAGGAAGCGGACATGACCATGCTAGAAGGGGAGCCCTCCACAAAGCCACTGGTGTGAACAGTCAGCTCAACAGTACCACCCACTCACGGTGTTCAATTCAGGAATATAAAAAAAATCATCTGAAATATTAGCAAAAAATGTATACTTCCAGGTCATATCTAAATACTCTGCTATAGACTGATGGGATATAAAATTTGCCCAACTTCACATTCATCAAAGTCGTGGAAGTGACTTTTGAACTATGTAAGTATCTTCTGTTGAAAGGTGGGAACACGGTCCCCTGGTTTGTTGTCAGATTTGATATATGCAGCAAGGATGCTATGTCCCACTTACACTTACTCTCTGTCTCTGTTATTCCCTTTTCTAAACTTTCTATTCAATGAAATAATTTCTTCCACAACCAGCATCCCTTTTAGAGTTCAATAATCCTCTTCTGATTCCAAAAACAGGCAGCCTACTGTATCAAGTTCCCATTTTATCTCTCCTCAGTCACGGACACATTTACATTTTAAAACTAAAAGCTTACCTTGAGAACCAACAATTCATCAGAAAGTATAATGCAGAGCCCACGAATGCTATCTTATTTGATTTTACATCAAGTCTCTGTGGTAGGTATTAACCTCAACTGTAAAAATCAGAGCGCAGACCTCTGTGTCCCTGGGACAGGATGGTAGTCACTGAAACTGAAATTTCCCTTCGCACCCTCTGAAGTCCACAGACTTTATACAAGACAAATAAAACCAACCAAGCCCACAACTACAGCATAAATGAATGCCAGACAATACCACAATCTACTTAAAGACAACAGCAAACCTCAAACAGGATAAAGTCAAAGGAAATCACAAAAAGCACATTGTAATCAAACTTCTCGAAGCAAAGATGAAGGAAAAACTCTTGGAAGCAGCCAGAGGAAAACACTCATTACATATAGAAGCACATCAACTCAAATGCCCATGGACTTCTTATGGAGAGAGATGAGGCCAGAGGACAGGAACTCCATGTCTAAGTGCTGAAAGGGAAAAAGGCTCAACCCAGAATTCTTTTTTTTTTTTAGATATTTTTTGAAGATTTTATCTATCCATTTGACAGAGACACAGCGAGAGAGGGAACACAAGCAGGGGGAGTGGGAGAGGGAGAAGCAGGCTCCCCGCGGAGCAGGGAGCCCGATGCGGGGCCCGATCCCAGGACGCCGGGACCATGACCTGAGCCGAAGGCAGACACCCAACGACTGAGCCACCCAGGCGCCCCTCAACCCAGAATTCTATAGCCAGCAAAAAGATCCTCTAGGAATGAAGGCCAAACAAAAACATTCTCAGATGAAAGATAAAACTTGGAGGATATGTTACCATCAGACCTCCTACAAAAGAAAGCTAAAGAAAGTTTCAAGACAAAGAAAAATGATACCATCAGGAAACTTGGAATTTCAGAAATAAAGAACACAAAATTCTTTAAAACGTGTATGACTATTGAAAGCAAAAGCTGTAACATCATCTGGTGAAGTTTTCAGTATAGAAAGATGTGAATGGATATGGCAGCTATCCCGTAAGAAGCAGGCAATTCCATAGCTTACATTAAGTGTAAAATATGAACAGTGAAAAGTTAGCTGTGTATATTGCAATCCTTAGAGTGGAGCTTCTCAACAGCAGTACCATTAACATTTTGGGTCTCAGAGTTCTGTTGATGGAGCTGTCCTGCGCATTGTGGAATGTTCAAAAGCAAACCAGGCCACTATGCACTTGATGCCAGGAGCGGTACCCCCCGAGTCGTGACAATAAAAATGTGTCCAGGGGCGCCTGGGTGGCTTAGTCGTTAAGCGTCTGCCTTCGGCTCAGGTCATGATCCCAGGGTCCTGGAATCGAGCCCTACATCGGGCTCCCTGCTCAGCCGGGAGCCTGCTTCTCCCTCTTCCACTCTCCCAGCTTGTGTTCCCTCTCTCGCTCTGTCTCTCTCTGTCAAATAAATAAATAAAATCTTTAAAAAAAAAAAAATGTGTCCAGATGTCGCCAAATGTCACCTGGAGGACAAAAATCACTACCTACAAAAAAAATAAAAATACTTGAAATATAATGGCATATAATGTTAAAAGATTAAAAATAAAAAGATGGAAAAAGATACGATACAAACGCTCTTTCAAAGGAAGAAAAGTAGCTATTACAATATGACAAAGAAGACATCAAAAAAATAAAATGGAAGAACTGCCCAGGATAAAAAAGAACATTATATAATGATAAAAGATCAAATCACCCATAAGCCCTAGCAATCATAAATGTGCATGCACCTACCACCAGTTTCAAAATACACAAAGTATGAAATATGTAAGTAAAAGGACAAAGAAACAAATTGATAATACTGCCGGAAGACTTCGTAACTCCTCTCTCAGTAATTGATGGAAGAAACAGACTATCAGAAAGTACAGAAAGACGTGGTCAACACTGTCAGCCAACCTACCCTGCCTGGCATTTACAGAGCACTCTACCCTACACAGCAGAATGTTCTCATCAAGTGCTCAATGAACCCTCATCCCCACGGACCACATCCTGGGCCATAACACAAACTAACAAATTCAAGAAGAACTGAAATTAGACAAACTATGTTCTCTCACCATAAAGGAATTTCTTTTAAAAATCAGTAACAGAAAGGGACGCCTGGATGGCTCAGGTGCTTAAGGGTCTGCCTCAGCTCAGGTCATGATCTTAGGGTCTTGGGATTGAGTCCTGCTTCTGGCTCCCTGCTCAGCGGGGAGTCTGCTTCTCCCTCTTCCCCTCCCCCCACTCATGCTTGCACTCTCTCTCTGAAACAAATAAATCTTTAAAAAAAAAAAAAATCAGGGGCACCTGGCTGACTCAGCCAGTTAAGCGTCTGCCTACAGCTCAGGTCGTGATCCCAGGGTCCTGGGATCAAGCTCTCTGCTCAGCGGGGAGTCTACTTCTCCCTCTGCCACTCTCTCCCTGCTCATGCTCTCTTTCTCTCACTGTCTCTCAAAATCTTTAAAAATAAATTTAAAAATAAATAAATCAATTACAGAAAGATATTTGGAAAATCCACTAATACTTGGAGGGAGGGGCACAGAAGCACCATTTGGGAACAGAACTGTCACAATGCTGGAGAATCATCCAATTCTTCACAACTGCAAATGGAAACCTGCGAACAGCAGAAGTTCTAGAGATCAGCACCTTAAGCTAGAACGCACACTCAGAACCAGTCATCACAGGACAACTTGACGTCTACCTGCTGGTGTGATACAGTAAGAAGCAGGTCCAACACACGCACACAGCTACCGCAGTTACTCAATCCCAGAGCAGTGGTTCTCAAAGTGCAGTCCACAGAAATTCTTGGAGCCAGAGACTTCTGGAAGTAGCCTACAGGTGGTATCGAGAGCCCTCGCACTCTGCTGCTTGAGAAGCACTGCTCTGGGGCTAATTTTCACGTGACGGGAAGCACACAAAATAAGAGCACTACCGCCAGGTCCAGGAGGTACTGATCCAGATGCTACAGACCACCAGCCCAGACTCTTCAAAAACGCCACATCATCAGAAGAAAACCACCACAAAGATTTCTCCAAATTAAAAGAAATTAAAAAGATACAACCAATGAGGGGCGCCTGGGTGGCTCAGTCGTTAAGCGTCTGCCTTCGGCTCAGGTCATAATCCCAGGATCCTGGGATCGGGCCCCGCATCGGCCTCCCTGCTCAGCAGGAAGCCTGCTTCTCTCTCTCCCACTCCCCCTGCTCGTGTTCCCTCTCTCTGTGTCTCTCTCTGTGTCAAATAAATAAATAAAATCTTTAAAAAAAAAAAAAGAATGACAATGGTGAGTGCTACTACAGATAATCAGGAATATCCAAGAACAGAATTATTTCCATTCTGCTCTATAAAATGTTACTGAAATACGTCTTCTACAGTACATAACAAGTTTTAAATGTATATGACCTATAAACACAACGTACAGTACCTAAACAAGCTTCATATGTGCAAACTTAGTTATCTTGTTAGCAGTCCTTCAGGGAATCTCTGCATGTGGGTGTTCACACACCTGCATGTGTGTGTGGGCATGTGCATGTGCAGGTATGCCGTGATGGTGCCAGGCAGTCCTCTGCTTACTGGGATTCTGTGAAAAGGTCAGAAGGCAAGATTCCAGAAGCCTCTACCTTCTTGAAACTTTATTTTTGAAACAGGTGCCTAGCTGTCAAGAATCCAAACACAAGTGGACTTCAATGACTGTAAAGATGTCCTTGGACCATAAGGCCAATGCTGACCTGCTACCTAAGCTCCTTTTACCATCTTTTTAACATGTGGTAACTAAAAAATAATCCAGCAAGTGGATTATTGAGTCACAGGTTACTGAGTTACCCCCCACTATTGGACAGAGAAGACATTTATAACTTCCCACTAAATAATGTTTCAGTGCAAATATCTGTACACAGAACTTTCTCCGTATTTTTACATGAATTCTTTCAAAGAATCCCAGAACTGTAATAGTTATATAAAGTCATAAGCTCTAAAACACTTGGAATATTATTGCCAAATGCAAATTTAAACTCCCACCACTATGAGTGCTATGAATAACGCCAAAAGCAATTTTACCTCACCCTCATCAGACGAGAGCTAAATACATATAACCCCTCGCTTAAATAAAGGGAGGAAAACGGCATCTTGTCATCACCGGCACCGATTCACTTTTGCTATCACACGGGGTCCTGCACTACTACTTACAAACTGTGGCTAAGGCTGCTCCCCATGCTGTTCAGTGGAGCTGGGCATATTTGGGGCGTGTGCAC